GGGTTACTTCACAATATTTTGATGATATGCATTATTTTTGTAGCGTATCTGTAATGTTCGTTGCGTATTTGATACGCTTGGATTTTATTTTACTGCAATGTGTAAGCCACATTTGAAGATGCTCTTTTACTCATTCCGTGATTTGAATATGATGGAAAAGTTGCTTACCTTGGCAGAGGAGGTCGATGAGTCTGTGGCAGAATGCTGTACCCATTGGGATGGCCCTACACACAAAATTGATTTACCAATGAGAAAGAGTGTAAGTCTTTCTTTGTTGCCTTTGATTTTGATGTGGCGAGTATGTGCCGAATTTGAGCTGTGATTTCATTGATTTTACCTTCTGGTATTCTCACCTGCATAGCTATGGTATCTATTTCAAGGCCCAGGAACGTAAGTTGAGACACCAAGCCAACTGTTTTGTCCTGGGCGATGGGAATACCTAGCTGAGTTAGCATTTCTAGTGAAGACTGCAAATAGGATTGGCATTGTGTTGTGTCCTGCTATCCCTCAGTCAGAAAGTCATCGAGGTAATGCATGATCAGTATTGCTGGGACGCGCTGACTAATGCACCTTTGTAGGAACGAGCTGAAAGTCTCAAAGATAGCACATGATATTGAGCAGCCAAATGGTAAGCATTTTTCAAAGTAAAATTTACCTTCCAATTGGATACCCAGCAGTTCGAAATCATCCAGGTGTACTGGTATAATTCTCAATGCTGACTTGATGTCAAACTTCACAAGCAACGCTCCCTTTCCCAAGTGTTGCACCATTTGCACATCTTCATCGAATTTGGCATACGAGATGGAACATGCTGGCGGATCTATGTGGTCATTTATTGACCCACCTTTGGGATAAGATAGATGATGAATTAGACGGAAATCATTTCTCACCTTGACATTGTTGTGAGTCTGACTGTTTCTTTGGGATTAGACCTACAGGGGAGACTTGCAAGTTAACAAAGGGCATAGTGATAAACGGTCCTGCCATTCTGTTAAGATCCAGTTCTTTTTTTAGCTTTTGTCTGGCGATGTCTATTCTATCTATATGAGTTGCGGATTGTAAATTGCCTGCTAGACGACTATGTGCAAATATTGTGCATCGGCTGCCTTTAACTGAGCATAACGACACAACCATTTTAACTTATCTAGTTTGACGGGAGTATGAGCCAAAGACCTCTAGTTCCTATGGTTGACTGCCTTGGGCCATTAAAGCGTGGACTTGAACTATTGTTTGATTTGGGGGTTCGTGGGACCCCCTGTCCTCGAAAGCAGGCCATCGTCCCGTGAGACGTCTAGCTGCACTTGCTTAAACCTGTGGGAGGTTGCGCAGCTGTACTTATTACACCCATGATGTGTAGCATAAGTTGAGTGCAGGGTTTGAAACACTTGAAGCAGTCATCTGACCGGATGAACCACCTACCTGTTGACGCTCAACTGCGGGGTCATGTATTTTAGCCATAGCTCACCATCAATTTTGTCCCATCATTGTAGAGGGTCTCTAGCCATCCTATGTCGGAATTGCTGGTCGTATAGACCAAAGGCCTCCAAATCAAAGTGCCGTTAAACGGATTGTCTCCATGTAAGATAGTAGACTTTCCACCATCCGTAGACTGAAATGTTTGGCGAGGTATATATTTATGTAAATATGGAAAGCCAATGTCCAGCTTCCAAGTGTTACTATTTTCGTTGGCGCTTTGACAGGTTTAAATATCACCTTACCTGCTGTATCGGTGACCAAATTAAGAGCTTCATCCTCTTCGATGCCACTGTCGTTATACTTTTTCCTTTGTTTGTTGTTTGACATGTGCATCAATAACCTCGGAGTTGAGGACGAGGGATTCCCCCGACAGACGATTTTCATTGGTTGACGTGTTCGGCATTGACATGTCACCGGGAGCCTCGTTCTGAAAAGACGGGTTAACCCCACAAGACCCGCAAGCATTGAGAGAATGCCCGGGTCCTGATTGCCCCAAAAGCGCCCAAATTTGTTGCTGCTGCTGCACTACTGACGCGTTTTGATGATCATGCAAAACTTGATCAGTTTGTTTGGGAGTGGGCATGGTGGAAACCAAAATGCCAGACGGTATAGACATGCAATTATTTGTAATGGAATATTCAAACTCACCGTCCACTGTAGCATCATGCATGATGGGGATCCCGTTAACCACCCTTGGGGATGCTTGTTTGGCCCCTCTGACCAAACGATGGTTGATGGCAGCTCTTCTTTTCACAGGCATTGCTATTATCTGTTTAAGTCATCATGCATGTCTAAGACAAAGACATGAATCAGGGCGTTCCATAAGATACCACAAACAGTGTGTGTTTGGTGGACATACTTTACTTACTACATGGCGGTACACCCAAAGTTGTGACGTCATACACATGACGTTATACAAATGACGTCACACATAAATCCCTTTCAATAAACAAATTAAAGTTTGCATGGAATGTAGGGAGTATTGATGGATGACAAGAGTCATAAGTTAAAGTCAAAATATTTGGCACAACTGTTCCTTGTATATCACATTTCTTGTATGTCACTGTTGTTTACTTTGACTTGCTCAAGAGTCATCATGGCACTGTAGGGAACATTATGAACACCATCGCGTCTCTGGTGACTGTCCAACATAACATTGTCGAGTTCAACACTAACTCCACACTGAGAAACATTTACTTTAACTGAGAATGGACAACAAAAGTAAGACTGAAAGTCGGTTAGTTAACCCACTTAAATTAAGTTTAACACTTTAACTTGATACGTCCTATTCTGTGTAGTCCTTGAGATATTCTGGTTTGCGTATCTCTCTGCCTGACCGTGTTGTAACACACTGCTGGGGTTCATGAGTTAGGTAGCCATGTTCTGGCTGTGACTTTCGCAGGTGTGTGTGCAGGACTGTGATGCACGCCTCTGGAAGGTATGTGTACACTTATCGTCTTAGGTAAGGTGATGTCTGTCGGCTTTGGAGATTTCCTTGTAACCTGGAGTGTTCCATGACTTGGTGATTCAGAAGTTTTTCTCAGATGTCTGCGATTTCGTCTCAGGGTCTGATTGTCCCCTGTAATGACCTCATAGGAACGGGGTCTGTCTTTGGTGGGTCCCAAGACTTCTGCTTTCTGCCATAGTTTGTCGCCAATTGTTTTGGGTAAGATTCTCACACTATCACCTCTCTGAAGAAAAGGGATCTGTTTCGTACTCTGATTGTAGTATTGAGCAATCTCATTAAAATCATATCTTAGTTCTCGCTATCGCTACACAAAGATCTGAGGACATCCCATTGCGTGTCACTTCAGAATGACCCTTTGCGAAGTAATCTACAGCGATGAGATAGTTGTTGCCATCTAGAACCAATGCCATCTGCTCCAACTTTGGACGGTCTGCTACTGACTGTGACAACATGGGATCCTTAGCTTGTTCCCTACACTTTGACCTCGGTAGATAATGCCATCTTGTACAGTCAACTCATCTCAACAGTTGAAGTATGGTCTTGCAGCGTCAGGAACATCTTTCAACTGATCCAGCCAGCCCTTCCAAATGATGTCATACACTTGTTGTAGGTCTGCGTCTGACTTGACTTTCTCCAGTATCTCTTCCATTCTTGCTTTAGCAATTGGGACGTAGTCTATCAAGTTGATGAATTCCTGGTCCATTCCTGTATCTGCAAGTTCAGGCAGTGGTGCTCTGCTTAATGTGTCGGCTAACTGCATCTATTTTCCAGGCCTGTAGGCGAGCTGTATTTCGTAGCGCTGCAGCCTTAGCAACATTCTCTGCAGACACTTGGGTGCACTGTGTAGTGGCTTCCTAAACTATAGTCTCAAGTGGCTTGTGGTGATATTGAACATCAACTGGCCCTCTGTACATGTATTGGTGGAACTTTTCCCCGTGAAAAGGTTGTGCGACGAGTGTGACTAAACGTCAGCGAATGATATGATTGTAGGAAGAAGAGAAAAAGCGGAAAGCGATAATGCAATGTAAGACGCAATGAACAGCTGTTCATTTGGCTTCTGTTTATGTAATGTTAATATGGTGTTAGTTTTTATCCCCCGCCCAACGAAGTTGGCGGGGGATATAGAAACGGGCTCCGTCCGTCCGTCACGTTTCGTTTCCGGAGCATAACTCATAAACCGTTCTAATTTTTTCATCAAACTTTGCAGGTCTGTCAGGTACATGCTGAACTGGTGCCTTTTGCGATTGAGAAATTTTAGAAATTTTTATTTTTTATGTTCCTATGGCAACAAGATGGACTTAGGTTCTGTGAGGGTAGGGTTCATTTCCGGAGCATAACTCATAAACTGTTCAATATTTTTTCATCAGACTTTGCAGGTCTGTCAGGTACATGCTGAACAGGTGCCTTTTGCTATTGAGAAATTTTATAAATTGTTATTTTTTACGTTTCAATGGCAACAAGATGGACTTAGGTTCCAAACTCATCTTTTTTTTACAATTTCCATGACAAGTTCCACCTCGGTTAAAAAAGGTTAGGGTTTGTTTAGATTCAACTATGTCATAAATTCTGTAACAGGGGCGGGGGATATAGCCATGTTAGTGGCAAACTCTTGTTGTTCTTTGTCATGTAAATATTCATACACACCATTTAGATATTCGTCGTTTTACCTTGATTTGTTGGGTTTACTGTTTTCTGAATTTGGGTACAGGTAATGATTCAAACATGCTCCTAATCTACTCTTTTATTAACTGAGATACGACCCATGAAGATCCGGCGTAGAATAGGTCTTCAGCAACCGATGCTTGCCGTAAAAAGCGACTATGCTTGTCGTAAGAGGCAACTAACCGGATCTGGTGGTCAGGCTCGCTGACTTGGTTGATGCAGGTCATCAATCCAAATTGCGTGGATCGATACTCATGATGTCAATCACTGGATTGTCTAGTCCAGACTCTATTATTTACAGACTGCCGTCATATAGCTTGAATACTGCTGAGTGCGGCGTTAAACAACAAATAAACGAACAAACAAACATTAACTGAGATACTCCATATTTCAGATTCTCTGGAAGTGTGGAAATTTCAAACGAATGGTCTTATGCAGATAAAAGCCATATGTACAACACTTCTATTACGATGGAAACCAATACCACCACTACACGAGATCTTTCTACGGAGCCAAACAGAGAGCAGGACACAGAGGAAGGTACCAATGGCACGGTTGATTTATCCATTTTCCATAGTCTTTAAGCCAGCGTATGGTATTGTCCGTCCTTATGTTCATTTTAGTTGACTTCTCTGAAAGTTGAAGGAGTAAACCGGAACCTAAGATTCTCCTTCTCATACCAAAGGATTCAACAAGCTAAACCTTTAGCATCACAAGTTTTACTCCTTTTTCTCAGTATCCGTAGTACCACAAAGGCTATAACTTGTATGAATGAATGTACCCGAAAGAGATCGACCATTTGAATTTCAGGGGGGATTTTGGATTCAGATCATCATTTTTTCCTTAAACCCAACCCACACACTCACTCTAAATTCTGCTCACAAGATTTTGATCCTATTTAAAACATGGTCACCACTACGACCATGTTAAATGTATCATTTAGCCCATTGCTCAACCATTTCTGAATGTATCACTATGAAAATTCCATATGCAGTAAGAATGACCTGTGCAGAATGTTTTCATGCACACTACGACTTTAAACCCTCAAATACCTCCGTTTTTTTCTAGTTTTAGTGTTTGTTAGACACCTCATATGAAACGTCTGGGTCAATGAAGCTGAATTTTGTATATGTGATTCCAGGAATGGTGTCCTTATACTTGCTTACATAGTTCCAAACCGATTATAAATATGCCCCCACCCACACGGCAGACACTAAAAGTAACATTGGCTGAGCCGATTTTGCATTTATGTATATGAAATTAGATTTATGTTAATTATGTGGAATGATCGACAGTAAGACGTGTGTTCTTGTGTATTCATAATGGTGATCTTAATTTAAACCTTTGACCTTTATGAACCACAGTGGCTGCCACTATTGCCATGCTATTCATGATGAACATGTAATTTTGTCGGTCTGCATAGCCAGTTATGCATGTATCATTGTGTAATTGATTTAAGTTCTTTATTCTTTATGTGGATTTGGTAAAATTTATACGGTTTAATGGTGTGACATGTATAATAGAATGAAGGGTACTTTACAAATGTGTCCTCAATATGTGTGAAGAAAATATCAAATCTATGTGCTGGCGTATTAATGCATATTGAGAGGTTGTCCTTGTTGACATTTCAAGTGTACACTTCCATGAAACTATTTGACTGTATTACATATGTCAATGATGATCATATGAGAGAGAATTATTGATTTTCACAAATATTAATCAGGTATACGTAGTTGCTTGAAAACATATATCAATGATTAAACATTTCATTTCACGTGTATTCTAGGTAAGGACCTTCAGCCATTAAATATTGATACGCTGAATGGAGCATCATCCTCTCTCAATGACAAAACGACAGAGAACAGTGTAAATGGCAACCCTACACCTGGAACCATGATGGCCTCTTCTCCAGATATATGTCAAGAATCTATTGCACTTGCAACGAAAACTGATCAAGGTATTACATCCACACAGGTTACAGTTGATACCTATACGGACAAAGTTAAACTGGTTGCACTATAATACGACCATATATATACGTAAATTCATTTGTTTAACAGATGTAAGAAAAAAGTAACTGACATCGACTTTTTCAAGCCCATAATGCTACGTCGTCTGCAAATTGCACCTTCTGTTTCATGATAATGTTTATGTTTCAGAGATGGTGGTACTTCGGCCGACTAACATCACTAACTGCCCAGGAGCAATATTTGGGAACGTTCAGCAAAATACTCACTACCATGCTCCGCCACCTTCGCCAATAGAAACAATGATAGGTGAGGTTGACAATTAGAAGGCCTCCACAAAACAGAAATAATAAATATAGCTTCCTCTACATGGCTCTTCAACCAATATGCGCCACTGAGGACTAAACCTTTAGATGGAATATAGCCACTGAATAGATTCATTAATACTATTATTACAAAAAGTGATCTAGACAGACGTATAATTTTTTCTCCTTGAACATGTATACAACTTCCAATGAAAAAGGAAAAGATAGTAAGACAACGTAATACCTCAATATGTTATTTAAGTGATTTTGTTGTTCTGTCTTTTCAGAGAGAACTAAACAAAGCATCTTTCTAGACTTTGATGAACGGGCACATTTTGTGACAAGGCCTTCAAAGAGAGCGCTTGAAATAATCAAGATGAAAGGAAAGGTTGCAGTGACTGCTAAATCAAAACAGGGAAAAACAACAATGGCCAAGTATATTGCAAAGAAACTTACAGCTGACAAGAAGTTCACACCAGTGGAGGTGATCAGCCCTGACCAGTGGACGGAACTCCCCCAAGACAAACACTTCCTCGTCATAGTTGATAATGTATTTGGTAGAAATATTGACAACTTCCAATCACAGTGGATTCCGGTGCTAAGGCAGATCAACAATGAAGTCGAAGGTGGTAAGATCATTCTTATCATGACATGTGACAATCTTATTGCAAAGAAACTTGGAAAACTATTTGACAGATCATGCATTGTTGACCTCCAAACACATGAATTTAAACTGAGAAGGTTTGAAAAGGTAGAGATTTTGGACAGGCTTCTTAGGAAACATGGAATGATTCTACCGAAAGTTGCTATGTTTGATGCATGTGATGAAGGCCCCCCAGATGATTTCCTTGAATGTTGTGAATTCTTCAATAAAAATCTCAGTTTAGACTTTTTCAGGGACCCATATGAAATAGTAACACCAAAGATTACTGAACTGTTTGAATCACACAAAGGCATCTACTGTGCAATGGTTACAGATGCATTACGTTTGTGTAATGTAATGAAAGATTACCAGAATCTCAAATACGAGATAGAAACTTTGTGCTGTGTTGACAAAGCCTCTCTTGGTGAAAGTCCATTTGAAACTGGCGATTTTTCTAAGCACAAAACCTATTACAAATGTGCTTTTCTGTCAATGAAAAATCTTGATCTTACGTGCATGGTGAGAATTTGCCCTTTTGATATTCTGGCTGAACATACTACAACAAAATTGGAACAGGAATCACACAGGATACTTCTTTTACCATTTGAAGTGCATCAACAACTGACATCTAGAATCATGGAGAACTTTAGAATTAGCGTGTCACAAACACTCAGTCATGATTGTTTCTCAGATAGAAGGTTCCTGGACTCTGTCGATCCTGACTTATATGACATGATGGCAGAAAATGCCACCGAAGTGATGGATTTGGCTGTACAATACCAGTATACAGAACTTGTTGAGGCACTTAAGGATGTGACACTCTCTGAAGATTCTAAACACAAGCTTTTACACAAGGCTTTTGACACAATGAACACAGACATAATTGCTCTCCTGTTAGATGATTCTGGTGAACAGATATGCCAGATTTGCGTTCATAGGATTTGCAGCTCATTGGACAAGGCGACACCTGATTCATTACCCAGGTCATATTTCAGGTTATTATCAAGCTTCTCCTTTGGCGACCTGGAGCCATGCATTAGAAACTTGGTAATAAGCGGGTACACAGACATTATCAAAGATTTGCTGCTTCAGCAGCCTCCTGATTACCATGTCATAAGAAACCTGGTGTTATTTTGCTCTTGCAAAAATGGCATGGAAGACATATACCTCTCAATCAAAAAAATGGATGTTGCACTTCCTGACCTGGATGCTCTTTTGTCACACGCAGCAGAAGGAGGAAATATTGACATTGTCAGAGATCTTTTATCAATGGGAGCGAACCCCAACACCAATAGCCATGGGACATATAAACCTGTTCATCTAGCATGCATATTCAACCATACACCTGTGATTGAAGAACTTCTACTAAAAGGAGGGGACATCATGGGGTTGTCAACATCGAAAGAGACAGTTCTCCATGTCGCCAGCAGTGTCAAATTGGGGAGCAAACCAGATACTATCCGATGGCTATTAAGAGAACATTTGGGAATGCTTAGTCTTGAAGCTGCAACTGATGATGGATGGACTGCATTACATTATGCTTCATCAGCTGGAAACATGGATTCTGTCAAGTGTTTGTTGAGATATAAAGCAAATGTATCGAGTTGTGACAATGCTGGAAACACGCCACTCCACTGTCATGTCAATGGTGAAAATCCAAGTACAGGGGTCTGCGAACTGCTGATCAGTGCTGGCTCTGATCCAGAATATAAGAATGCAAAGGGAGAAACACCATTACAGTTGATTACCAAACGAATGGTTCCACAGAGATGCAGTGTTTTACAGTGTCTCTCAAAAGAATCAACGCAAGTGAATTCAAAAGATGAGAAAGGTAATTCTATAATCCACTGCCTCCTTGGCGAGGATTGTGGGGCTGAAGAAGCTGAAGTACTGATCGAAGCTGGTGCTGATATCAACCTTCCTGATATGAATGGGGATACACCATTCCATTTGCTTGCTATGAAGAGATTTCATCATATCATTACGACCATGATAGATAAAGGTGCCATATTTGCTAAGAATCGAAGTCAACAGACCCCTTTGCACAAAGCGGTTCCTGTTCCACAAAACAAGGAAACTGTGGAAAAATTGGTGAAAGCCTTTCCAGGATGTGTACTTGTGGCTGATATCAATGGAAACACTCCAATTCACATTGTTTGTGAGGAATGCCCAGAGAATGGAGATGAGTACCTTGAACTTATGCATAACCCTAATGCATGGAAAGCAAGGAATGAACAGGACCTTACACCACTGCATCTTGCTGCAGCATCTGATGGAGATGCCTCACCAGCAATTGTTGGAATGCTCTTACGTCACCGAGCAGATGTCTCTGCATGCGATAGAAATGGAAATACCCCCATACATAAGTCAGGTTTCCTTAGTGGAAAACATTCTGTATTAATTATCCAGATGCTCATTGACAAGGGGGGTACATTTGGTTTGAATAAACATGCCAACAGCCCCTTACACATGGCATGCCTATCAAAAGGTGAGAGCAAAGGACAAGTAGCCCTCTTCTTGATAGATAATGGGTCTAGGATGGATGCACCAAACGCAAGCGGAAAAACACCAATCGAGATAGCTATATCTCGTAATGAAACAGAAATAGCTGAAACTCTTATGAACGTCTTGATTAGACAGGTGTGTACATCAAACAGTTACAAGGCAGATGATGTTACTCGACTCTGGAAACATATGCAAACTGCTAATTATAGCAATACATACAGGCTTCTACACAATGTTTGTGAAATCCCTGCAGTCCATACACATAAACTGATACGAAAACTTGTGGAAGCTGGCTGCAGTGTGAATGCAAAAGATGATACTGGCAGATCACCATTACATGTCGCATGTTTGTATGCCAGAAAATACACAGCAGACATGGTAGAGGAGCTTGTGAGTCTTGGAGCAAAGATTCACGACAAAGATGTCAGCGGGAGAAATGCTCTTCATTTTGCATGTATGTCACAAGACGAAAGGGCGATCAGGACTCTTCAGTTTCTTATTGATAGGGATGTAGGATTAAACGAACCTGACAGAGATGGTGACACGCCTCTTCACAAGGCAGTGTCCACAGGGAATCATTGCTACAATGCTGTAAAGATGCTCATCAAAGCGGGGGCATGCACGGATGCGCAAAACTGGTTTCAGCAAACCCCATGTGATTTGGTCCCACACTCAAACGCAAAAGTATGTCGGCTCTTATTTGGTAATAAATTGTGGCAGAAATGTAATGGTGATAAGAAACTTCAGGAACAAACAGTGAGAAGTTTGATGGAGGGAGGCGCATCAGTGAATTACAAACTCCAAAATGGCAAGACTTTGTTACACAAGCTCGCTGAGGAAGGAGGAAAACATGCTCTGGAGAACACCAAACTGCTCTTGTCTTTGGATGCTAACCCGCACACACAATTTGAGAGCCTGACACCATATGATACTGCAACATTCAATGGACATTATGAACTGTTAAAAGTGCTTGAGAAAAGTATGAAAACTACTAAACCAAGTCAAAGAGAAAAAGAAAGCATGGAAGAGTTTGAAGACATCCTTGTACATATGGAGGACGTTTATGAGGGCTCTGCAACAGCCATGAAGAAAGCTGCAGATCATGTTGAACCTGGAAATGAAAAGCTTTCTGACATTATGAAGGGCACTGCTCAAACTCTACAATTAGGTACGAAGATGTTGAAAGGTTTTAGCAAAGGTCTAGATTTTGTCAAGCATCTTGGGGATGACTTGTAAAAACTTTTTCCACCAACCAAATTGTTTGCGTATGAATAGAAGACTATCAGGTATAGGAAAGTGTCTGTTGATCAAAGACTGGAACTGTGATCAGTTATACATATCTTAATTAAGTAATCAATTTACACAATTTCTTAATCTATCATCTAAGCCATTACTGCCACTAACATTTCTTATTTTGAAAAGTAACGTGTTTTGGGGTCCAGAGCCAGAGCACTGAGTCCATAACCTTTCCATCTGATGGGACAGCCTTGCCTTCTTTAGTGGTGATGATGATGCTTGCACTGTTTTCATTCAGGCTGGAAGAAGTTAACACAGACGTCACCTATAGTCACAAATCATTGTCAAGAACTTTCTGGCTCAGCTTCAAACAAAGCTAGATAACCACGAGACTGCCTGGCATATTTTTTTTAAATGTCTGAAGCTTTGGAATCCAACTTTCTTCATTGCCAAGTTTAATGTGATAATGGAGTGTACTCTCTGCTGGGAAATACCTACTGAACGGTCTGAACCAACAATATGACCTCAATCTTACACCGGTTGGTCATCACTATGTCATGGACCCGTGAAGATTCCAGGGGGAGAATAGGTCTTCAGCAACCCCTGCTTGCCGTAAAAGGTGACTATGCTTGTCGTAAAAGGCGCCTAACGGGATCGGGTGGTCAGGCTCGCTGACTTGGTTGATGCATGTCATCGATCCCATTGGCCTGGATCGATGCTCATGACATTAATCACTGGATTGTCTGGTCCAGACTCGATTATTTACAGACCGCCGTCATATAGCTGGAATATTGCTGAGTGCGGCGTTAAACAACAAACCAACCAACCAACTATGTCGTGGATTCTCTGAATCATTTCTGGTGCAGTGAAATAACAGGACTTCAAAGACTGGAGTCGAATTCAGGGCTCTCCCTGCCACGTTGCTTTTCTCTTTAAGGTGACTTTGGAAAGGTCATCCTTCCCTCACTTAGAACTCATATCTTCATGGATGGCTTTTTTGTGTTTTCGAGACATTCCTCAAGTTTGTCCACTTTCCAAATGTCACACAACCTTGCTTATTTTACTAACTTGTCACAGCGAAACATTTTGTTCAATCGGCTATAGTTTTTTGTGCGGATACGTATACCTCTATGACATCATATGTAATGTCCACAACAAGAGATTTCACTATTACGCAATTTGAGGCTCAGAACAAATCTTTTTTTCATACTGTCCTCTCAACATTAAAATTTATTGTTAGTTGATTTCAGTTCCCAAGTTTTCTAACAACAAGGTTCTACTTGTTGTTTGAAACTTTGAGTACACCTTGATGTCACATGTTTATATGGATGCAGTTTGTGGTCTGATTTTTTTCAAAATGTTTACTTTACTTAGTCAGTAATAAGTGTTATATATCTTAAAGGCCGGGGTTCAAGCCTATGCACAAAGGGGGTGTGGCCACAATGTATGGTTAAAACTGTCTTTTGATGCAAAGCAAAGCAGTAGTCAAATACATTCGATGAAATATCACAAAATCGACTTACCAGTTAATGATGATATTCAGCCATAGTACACAGAAGGATGTTATGAAGACTTACTATGAAAAAATATGGATACAGATAGTCTACAAAACGTACAATTTGGAAAATATTTCCCCCTTATTGTAATCCAGATTTGAATTTGCCACTGTATCAGTCAGGTGACCAGAGGAGGTGTGTATCCATAGCAACATGTCTGCTAGTGGAGGAAAGATTGCCATTCAAGGTTTCATATTTCACTTTCTCCCCAGACAGTGAAACTGACCCCCACCCCCACTCCCCCTGTGCGGGAGTGTAATCTGTTTTGACACTGACACCAACAAGAACATTTGATTCTCCCATGAGGGGGTGATATTTGTTTGGTATCTATGTGATCATTACCAACACTTCAACTAGTTAACTTTCATTCTATTTGATGGTTAACCTTTGTTGTACTAAATTCTTTATAATAACCTAAATTTCACAAGACCTTAATAAAAAATATACCAATCTCCTCTCCTCAATGTACCTCTCCAACCCATACCCCCCAAACCCCCAAATGAACCTGGCTTTGTTTTAGCATGCGATCACTTCAGGGTCTGACCACTGCTCATTGACTCCAACTATCTGAATAAATTGGACATCTCTTGTTTTCTACCACGTCATACTGATTTCCTCACATGATGGATCCAAATAAGCGACCTGCTCGTTTCACAGTTGAAGTACCAGGTGATCATGAAGTCAAGGAAGGTATTCTTCAAAAGCTGAAACAGGTGAAAGCTCACCTGAAAGCAGATACCAGCAAGCCTGCTAATAATGCTGATGTTCTGGACCGGGACATCACGGCCTGACTGCCCCGGAAGATCCACCAGTGACACACCTGACAGCTGGACCAGGTGACACTGATGACAGATTTTTTGTTATATCTGAATCATCCATGAAAATGTGCCTGGGTGTAGCAGAAAAGCATGGACGAAAATGCTCCAACAGATTGACTGTGGCCCAAATCAGTTATCGAGGCCATGTCATGAAGATGAAAGTACGCTGCCGCAAGTCACACCAGTATCGTCTGGCGTCCTCACCCTACCTCCCAGACAACAAATTCCTGGTGAATGAGAAGATTGGACATGCTTTTTACAGCTATGGCATGTTACCAGTCCAATACAGCAGGTTCTGTTCAGCTGCAGGGATTGGTAATCTCTCACGGAAGTATAGAGATGGACAGCTTACCACTTATAAGAACTGTGTTCAGACAGAGTATAGGGATTCCTGTGAAACGGCATTGTTAGAAGAAGTCGCTGGTTATGAAGATTTAGATGGCATAAATATCATGACAGATGCTCGGCATGGCTGGCGGAAAAATGCCAAGGACAGTAGTGTTGTGGCCATTGGTGACCACACACACAAGGTGTTAGCATGCCCACATATCACTAAACAGATCGATCCCGTCTCTCAGAGACATGAAAAGATTGGAACTGTACAAATCTATGATTACCAAGAAGAGAATGATGTCCGTGTTAAAGTCCACACACATGACAGAAATTTATCTGTTAATAAATTCATTCGGGACAGTGGAACTACAATTAACCAAAACGATACATGGCATGGTGTAAAATCGGTAGCCAAATCTCTTTCTGCTGTATCCAGTGGGCCAAAATATAAGCATGGCAGTACCTGGCATGAGCAGCTGTCTGACAAAGTACATCCTGTCACAACTCACTTTCATCATGCCATTCGGAATTGTTATGGTGACAGTGATTATCTGAGATCTTCCCTCTTAAATGTGATCGAACATTAAAAGAACAATCATTCAGACTGCAATCCTTCATCTAGATGCAAGAAAGATCCAAACTATGAACCATCACGTATCGTGCTCACAAGCAAGAAAGCAATCTCATTATTGAAAGGAGTCATTACAAATACAGTCATTTTCAAGTACCCAGATGACTTCAATTTGGCCAAAGATACATTCTATGTTGAAAGTTTCAATAATGTTATGAATATTTTTCAAGATAAAAGAATCTCATTTTCTGACCGAGTGTATGACATGAAGTCTCAGTTAGCTGTTTGTCACTGGAATGAAAATGTTGATAGGAGCTTCACTTCCGAGTGGCATTCAAGGAATCCAGGTGCACAGAGATGTCGCAGGAAGAAGAATTACAAATCTGTCTCCTACAATTACAGGGGCAATGTATGGAGCAGATATTTAGGCAGATTATTTTGACCTGAACCAATTACTTCTTGCCAACTGATAGACAGATAACATATTTTCTCTTGCTGACACTTTTAATTGCTGATTTGTTTATGACTTTACTGACAACTATAAATTATCTCCAGTGTTACTTCATGGTAAAAGTCTTGAGAAAGCTGTGAGAAACATTATTACATGAAGACACAGTGAACATGGAAGTTGGAGAAGATAGACTGTCTCTCACATTGATGGTAACTCCTTTGCAGCGAGAAACTATTTACAGTTTATTTCATCACCACAACTGGGATATAATAGAAGTTCCTCACTCCGAGACAACAACACCAGTTACAACTGTGCCGGATATTAATGACCCTGATGATGACCCCGAGTTTATGATCCAACAGGGAGCTGATGCAGATGAGTGTCCTCATTGTTTATGCAAACCATGCATAACGGACTCTAGTAATAAGCAGATGTGGTGGGAAGAAGACATCCTTCAAGACAATGTTCATAATTCTGAACTAAGAAAGGGACATTATAAGAGATTTTGGACTATGCTTCTTCACCGAGGTGTATGGAGGGATGCACGTTATCAAGAAAGAAAGAGACAGGCATTAGAAAGACATGTGAACAGACATCACTTGGTTTGGAATGGAACCCGACACAAACGTGACCTGATGCCAGATTGTGTTATAGTACTAGTTCGGACATGGCTACCAAATCCACCAAATAAACCATATTTGGGACATACCTGGAATTGATGCTACGACTATGTATTTGTTATGTTTGCATCGGTATGTGGAATACGCCCTTTCAATAATTGTGTTTCTTCATTGTTTATGTAGTATTATATTGATGTTATTGTTAATAATGTACTCTAAATTATCCTAACAAGGTAATCTGTTAATGCCATTGTTGTAAAGTTAGAAAGATCAAAAGAACTTTAACAATTGTGCTTATAGTTCATTTAAATGATGAAATGAGCGCCTGTAATGACACACATATTTGTTGGTTGTAAACAATATATATAAGTACCTATAAAGGTACTTTGCCATGAATTAAAATGTGTAAATGAATAATGGATGATCTTTCGAGGAAACCTTGACATTTATGTTGGGCACCTCCTCCCTGTTGCGGATACTTGACACACTAAGTGGGTGAGTGAGTGAGTGAGTGAGTGAGTGAGTGAGTGAGTGAGTGAGTGAGTGAGTGAGTGAGTGAGTGAGTGAGTGAGTGAGTGAGTGAGTGAGTGAGTGAGTGAGTGAGTGAGTGAGTGAGTGAGTGAGCGAGCGAGCGTGCGTGCGTGCGTGCGTGCGTGCGTGTGTGTGTATAGAGTATAACTGAAGTGCTGTGATTGAAACTTTTTGTGAATAATACTTTTGTCTTAGAACTCATTTTTTTGTAAATATGTACATTCATGAATAAGTAAAATTTCATATATTGTTATCAAATGATTCTGTCTTTTTTCTTCTGAATTTGTAGAGAAAGTGTAGTTGGATTCAGGATTTACTACAAGGCACATATTTATTCTTGTAGTAAATTCCATGCTTAACCTTTGACCTCGCCAGGCTCCCACCAAGCAGCAAAACCGTTAGAGCTCTGTCACTCATGGGCAGATAAAATCTACACTGCTGAGGAGTAGCCAATGGGAGACTAATTAGAAACCCATGGGTGTTTTTTTCAGTTTGCACTCCGGCCTTTAATTCTTTCATAAAAGAACAAACATGTGAGTTAGTTTGCTTACTTGATTTAACATCCGTTTTACTTTATTATAAAGTAAGACATGAATATTAAATATTAAAGTTACTATTACGTGAATTTTAGTCCAAACACAGCTACTTTATCATCGATGTTGAGAAATAATGTTTGCTTGTTTAACGCCGGACTCAGCACTATTCCAGTTTCCAGCTACATGACGGCGACCTGTTAATAATCGAATTCGGACCAGACTAACCCGTGATTGATATTATGAGTAACACCCCACTCGAGCTATG